ACTAGTAGTAATTAATTTGTGCGTAATTTTTGGACCTTGAATGAAAATACAACCTTGAAACATACACACTGCAAAGGGGAAAAGCCCTAGCAGACTGCAAAGGTAGACACAAGCCGGAAGTGAACCGAACAGGGGTGAGTACTTATGGGACTACCGTGCCAGAGCTATCAATTGCGCTCTGCACTATCTGAGATTGTCTCACTAGTTTTTTCAGGGAGCCATGAGGGAAACAAGAATTAGCAGAATCCCTGAAAATGCTTCTGAACTAGAATGGGTTGTCGGTGATCGTCAGATAGACTCTTCCGCCTTGGATGGGTCTCTTTTGTTACAGTCAACATTCAATCTTGTCCACTAGTGTGAAATTAACACATTTTGTATTTCCGTTTCAGGTCGATACTGGATCGATCCTAACCACGGCTGTAATGGAGATGCGATTGAAGTGTTCTGCAACTTTACTGCAGGCGGACAAACCTGTATCTATCCTGATAAAGACACGAAAAAGGTGCGTACATCTCCTTTGTTTTTATTTATTTATTTATATATATATATATTTATTTATTTATTTATTTATTTATTTATTTATATCTTTATTCGTTACATTTTTACGGCCCAGAGTAATACAAAAACTAGATAAAATACTACACAATAAGAAAAAAAGTTGCCAAAACACCAAAAACGTTCGGGGTAAAAGTATCAACAATAACTGAAATAGTCATTTCTCGAAGTTAAGTAGTTTGTTACTCCCTTTTTAAAACAGAAAATACTTGCTTCTCATTGCAAACTTTCGTGCTTTCGAACCTCGCATTGATGGTGTGCTAACTCATGCTTAACACCCAGGGCCGGGTTGTTCGAATTCTGGTGACCACTAACCCAAGATTAAAAGTTTACCGAAGTATTAATTTTCTTGTACAAAAATGTTTTGCACTGCTTATGTTTAGTGTAGTTTGAGCTGCTCCGTTTGAGCTTACCCAAGCTCAAAACTTAAGGCCAAACAATATAAACAGAAAACCTCACCGAAAAGTTACAAACCTGTAATCAAAATTCTTGCTAATTCTGAGTTAGCTTAATCGGGCTTTGAACAAGTCAGCCCTTCAGGGGGAGAAAGAGTTGAGGATTACATCACCCCTTAAATAAACCGAAACAACAATTCAGTCAAAGTTACATCGGAAACTAGATAGCCTGTTACCCAGCACTAAGGGGATTGCTATCGAGTGGTATCTTCTGTTTTCTCCTTGTCGTAAATTCCCATAGCCATGTGTGTTAAATGTTTTGTTTTCCTATTGGCATTGAATAGGCTGCGAACAAAAAGTGGAAGAAGCTCTCTGGATCGGAATGGTTCAGCGAATACGAAGATGGTTATGAGGTGCAATCGTTTCCTTTGTTCGTGTTTATTTTTCTTAATGAGCACATGGTGAAAAAAGTCCAGTATCATTCGGTTGGGAAAATCAGTAAGTGAAAGTGATATACATTTACTTGTTTTTCAGATTTCGTACACGGGTGTTGGAAAAACACAACTGAATTTCCTGCGACTGTTGAGCGAGAAAGCAACACAAACGTTCAACATGACTTGTAAAGGATCTAGAGGATGCTTTGACAGCAAGAGCAACGCGTTAGAAAAAGCCATCAGACTCCAAGGAGCTAATGACGGTGTCTTATCATTCATGAAAAGTGATCCAAATGTCAAGATTACGCAGGTATGAACATTTCATCATGTAAAAGAATCGAGCCAAAAGGAGATATTTCCAGTGTACGTGATCAGTAACATGCTGGGGAGAAGTCCGAAATCATTGAAATCAACCCGTCGGTCGGTCGATCGGTCGATCCCTCATTCCGCCGGTTTGTCCGTCCGTCCGTCCCTCAGTCTGAAGTCAGTCGGCCAGTTGATCGGTCGGTCGGTCGGTCAGTCAGTTAGTCATTCAGTCAGTCACTCAGTTAGCCCGCCCATTAGCCCCTCCCGACAGATTGCCATCCAGCTAACCAGGCAGCCCGCCCGCCCGTGCTTAAAACAAATTATCCAATTGTGATCAATATTATAAGATACAACTTTTTCAGTATTAATTTCTTTAACTGACTGTCATAAGCTACCTCTTACGTCATCAGCAAATGGCTGTGCTGTCGTCTAGGCGTGCTAAACTATTTTTTTGTGTGTGTGCATCCTTCAGGTCCGAAAAGATTGGAAAGCAGTTGTACAGGTGGAAACTGAAGATCTCAGTCAAATGCCCATAGTGGACTTCGCTCCCGGAGAATTTCTTAGTTCAAATGAATTTGGTTTTGAAGTGGGACCTATTTGTTTTAGTTAGCTCTGTTTTGTACCTCGATGACTTTTCCTTTAAATTAACTCCCAAGCGAAACTATTAAATTAGATGTTCCTGTGAGTTTTGTATGTCTGTGCATCAGTTTTGTTACTAGTTCTTTACTCCTGTTGAGAAATCGCATTATAATGTAATCTTAGTTCAAGCCTTGAAACGAAGGAGAAAATGCTCGATATAAAGTGTTAGTCGTGTACAATACCTAGTATCAATGTTCTATAGAGGCGATACACGGGAAAATATCAATAAAAGGAGGCGCAGTTTTGAAGAATGACATCCGATAGATCCCTCCTGCTCTGTTTCGCTTACGTGTACGCTAGTAGTGGTCAAGTGTTGCTGTGAGAGGACCGGAATTGAAAAGTTTCGTCCCAGTCCCTCCACGGGAGCCATTATTAAAGTTTTAGATAAATTTATTAAACTCTGTAATATTTTGTTGACCTCGATTTTCGCTTGTGTTAGTTACAACTATATTTAACTATAAATAAAGTTTTCCCTGTGCGAGTTGGTTAACCCTTGACTCGCTAACATAGCTTTGCGGCTATGCGGTAAGTATTTAAACCAGAAACGAGCTAAACAACGTAAAATTCCGACCCCCTAAACCTCGCCCCCATAACCCACCTCCATACGCAAATAAGCCTTCCGATAGTAATCAAAAGACGGCGTGGGTATTTAATTTGATTCGATGATTTTTCTGTTGGTAAACCACCATAAGAGCGAAATATCAGGCTACGACACAACATGATCAGGGAATTCAGTCATGGTCCGTAAACGGGAGAACTTACTTTGTCTTATGTTTCCGGATATGTTTAGAGAGTATTTTGTTACAAGGTCCTACGCCCGGCCGAAAATAAGCTCTAACGCAAGCCTATGCAAGTTGTTTGTATCTTCAGTCAGGTTAACCAATTTTAGTTGATAGCTTGAATTATCCCCAGGAATATAAGTAGGTATAGTTGTCTACACTCTATAGTTGTCTAGCGTGGTCGTCAGGGCGACGGTACGGTAAAAGCAGGAGTCTACTGCTCCTGTCGGAAGTCATCTATAGAGTCAAGTAGTCTGATATAATTTTATAGGGTACCTCGTTCAGCCTGGATGTATGTAAAAGGTAGAGATTCAAAGAGCTGAATTGTATACCAAAAGGGTGTAGGGAAATCTATGCTGAGAACTAAATTCCCCCCCCGCCCCCCTCTATCCCTGCCCTGGGGGACAATCGTGTTAGGTGTTTGAACTGCTGGTCTACATAAAGACTGCGCGAGCAGTCTAAACAACATAAAACAGACTGAAAAGACTCCAAAAATCGAAAATTAAGATGCAATTTCGTAGAAAGTACGGATTTAAATAAGAATGAATGAGGAGATAAGATAAGAACCTTTAATGGTAACGTCAAAGTATTCATCCCTAACGGACTAATTGGGGAAACTAAACAAGAATGAACCTACAGTACTAATGAATATTAAAACACAAAGCACTCCGTGGGAGGACCTAACGTCTAATGTAAAAATCTGTGCTGAGGTAAAGACACACAAATTAAGCCAATTTGGTTTCCTGTGTTTTTATTTATGGAAAAAAATGAAGATACCCCTCACCATAATCCTTTCAGGTGAGAGAAGTTAATTTTGTTGGAATGATAAATATTTCTTATCTGACACTGACCAGCAAAGATGGGAATGTCTGAATTTATCAGCACCTACTTGAAGGAGCAAATTGACTCGTCTGACTCCTTCGCCTCCGGTGGCTGTTTTCATTTGTCTTACTAACCGAAACAAGACAAGGATGAACAAACAAACTAGAACAAAAACAAAAAAGATATTTAGAACTGTAATATAAAATGGCACTTCCACTTTTGTTCTTCTGCAATACCAGCTGTCAGGTGTCTGAAATGTTCGATATTCGTGTAATTTGCACCTTCGACATTGAATGGACCTTTTCATGTTTAACTTTTCCCATTTGCATTAGAGTGTAATACAGAGATGTGGAGAAATTCGCGCAAACCTTGTTGTCACTTGTTGTTTCTGCACGAAATTGCCTTGCGTCCACGTTAAATTCCATTGTGATGCAAATGAACGGTGAAAGCATTTTTTTTCTGATCTCAGAGGTGTTTTTCTTTTGGTGTTCTTTATTTTATTTTATTCCAAATGTAAGAGGTGTCAAGCGGCGACATCAGGTGTCCTACTGACGAGAAACTAATCCTTATTACCTGTTTCAGAGTGAAATACGGAAATATCCACCTGCAGCCGGGTAAATAAACATTTAGTGCAACAAACAGTCACATTTATATAGCTTCACAAAGGCCATTCTCACAGTGTTTACTTATCCATAAGTTGTGTTTGATTTACCCGCTATTAAAATTATTTTTATTTAGTGATACATTATTTCCTGCGGCGTTTCAGATTTCTCCAAGGAGTCAAATAACGAAGTTACGTGAGGTGCGACAGCAACGCAGTCAAACCTGATCTGGTCTCAACTACGTGGCTCGCGTACTCGTTAGCGAAGGAAATGTTTCTCAAAGTCCTTTTTCTTGTCGGGATTGTGTTCGGCACATGCTCCTCGACTAACGTCGATTTCAGCAGTAAGTTTATAACTTTAATTCATTGTTGTCACTCCCCTTTCTCCATGTTTAAATGTTCTGTTACGTTGAGACTTCAACAACTGCCCTTAATACGTTTCTTCGCTCGCAGACTGAACGTTCAGATTATTTGCCAGTCAACTTCTGTTCGTAAGCTCTTGTTTCTTGTTTAAGCTCTCATTGATGGGTAAAGTGATTTTTGGCGCTACATTTACTCTTGATCAAACAGTAAAAAAGAGTACAGTACCGGAATCGGGGGGGACCTCAAGCAAATCGACCTGGAAGGAACGGGGGGGGCGCAGATGAGGACCTTTCGAGGAAAAGAGGAAGGTATACAATCAGCGTCGATCATGCGTTTTCGTGGATCATGTAATATTTCTCCAAAATGTGAAGTCATTATGCCAGACCTAATTTGATATAGCTGATAGCCATCGTGGCCAGCTCACATCTTCTCGCTATCTTGCCCTTTCCTCTCTTCACATCTAGCTATTTTTTTAGTTTAGTTTGGTAGTTTTTATCGGTCAGGTTTTTCATCCTCGGTGACAAGACTCCACGAGCTTTGCGCAACCAATGAGTTTATGCCACGGTTCGAAGTGTCCACCAAACCCAGACCGGAACGTTTTAGGATTACATTACACCCCCTCTAGCAACCACAGACACCCATTGATAAGAAAAAAGAAACACTCGATATAGAAAACATCTGACTGTACTTTTATGTCAAAAAATGATTAGTAAAAAATAATATCATAATTCTCCATATACTCTGTCGGTGATCGCTGTCGGTCCTATATTGTATATGGATGGCATTAACTAGCTTTTGGTTGGAGATTTTGATTTTGTTAGATACGATAGACGCAGATCGAGTTAGCGGGAATCGGTAGTTCGCGCTGTGCTTTTAGTTAGTTTTAAGAGATCAGTCCGAGTCCAGTCCTTGCAACTGAAGTCCAGTCCAGTCCANGTGGTCTTCTCTTAATTTATCTGTGTGATCCTATCGTGGTCTATCGTCTGAAAACAATTACACCACCAAAAGACAAAATGAGCGACAGTCTGTCGGCCTATTTCGTGAAATAGCGGCATGGTCACCTCATAATTATGGCTAGACGTTGTTTCACCGTGCCGAAAACAGATTTCAAGGGGCAGTTCTTAGGCTGATCAAAATAAAACATGGTTATATTACGGTGATTATATGACTAAGAAGCTAGGCAAGCATAACGAAGTTTCCGTTAGAGATGATTTTTCCTTTCCTGCGAACAGATTTAATCGGACCCCATAGTCAGCTTAATGAGATCCAGCATCCTGTTTATGTTCCGGTATAATGACCTCTGAGTACGTTGCTCGAATTTCTTAAATTCATGATAAGTTATGAGTGCTAAAAAATTAACTTCGTCTTAGGTTTTTAAAATATTGTTTATGTATGTGTTCAGCCGGTATTTGCTATAATACAGTAATGATCTCTATTCAGGAACTAGCCGGGCAAATACCGAAGAAGAAAGAAACTAAGGGGAGGGAATAAGATGAAATGTATAGACACTTATAAAGAGCTGTTCGTGAACAAATTTTGTTCCTAAACACAGAATTGAAATGCCAAGGCCAGTCACCACCAGCACACGGCCAAATTAAATGCGAAGACGTCCCCAACAGTCAGGACGTTTATTGTAGCATGTCATGTGACCCGGGATATGACGTTGAATTCCTTGCTGCTGAGCGTTACGTGTGTCATGATGACGGCACTTGGACCGCTGAACCACCGTCCGTGGGCACACAGTGGCCAAACTGTAGACATTACGCGTAAGTAGATACGAGTTTCTGATACAATAAATGTGTTATCGAACTTGCGTGATCGTGAGGGTCCGTATTGGGTATATGGTGGTGGAGTTTATGGGCCGAGCCGCAGGCGAGGTCCACAAGCTTGCCAAAAAGAACGAGACCAATATATACTGTAGCCTTGTACGGCATTTCTACAAGGACCTGCAAGGGCTCTGATAAGAGAAAACTCGTGCAGGTTTATGAACGCGGTTTACAAGCTGTATTTTGAGATTAAAGATCTCCTTCGAGTTTCGCAGTCTCTACAACAGTTGGTTCCAGGACATGCAACCGGGTAGTAAAGTTGAAGCTATTACCAACAAACCTTTTAAATCTAAGACTGTTCACAGCCCTTTATTTTCGCGTATTTTTAATCGATCGTTGAACACGTGGATAGAATCGCGAGGAAACTGGACGCAAACGCAAAACGAGAGACTTAACATGGTAGGGGGAGGGGACCAATTGGCTCGCTTCGCTCGCCTCCCCACCCCCACCCCACGTGCTTCGCGCTCACGTCGCTCGGCTTTTTCTTTCGCGTGCATTGAAAAATATAGAGTTGTCAATGTTAATCATTTTAGTGAGTCACCGCCCAGTTATAACCCAATTGTTTTCAAAAGTAGATTTAATACCGTGTATCTGAGCATGCATTAGGTCTTTGGTGTCCTCAGTTGGTAGCCTGCCTGTAGCCAGCTAGTAGATTGACTTGTTAATAAATTTGTTGCATTGTTGTATTGTATTCCGCCAATACGGACAGAACATGATAGAAAGTATTTATTAGATTGGAAATTTTCAAACTCTGCTGATAAATTAATCAGAAATCTAGTTTGAAATCAACTGATTACCCTGAACGTCTTCTCCAGCTGTTCTCCTGTCCCTTGTTCACACATTCCTTTCTTCCTTCCCGCCTTCCTTGGTTCATTCATTTTGTTTAATTAATGATTTATTATTCATTGTTTCTGTAGTGTGGATTTTCGGGTCACTTTCAAAATTTAGATCGAGAAATTGAATTCGTTTTTGTTCTTCTGACTTTTGGAATGAAGCAGTCCAACAAAAAGGCGCGGTTTAGACCTTACTGCTGAGTGACATGGTGGTACTTTTGTTATATCTCTGTTCATTACTTACCTGCATCATCCTGTTTTTTGTTTCAGCCGAGGAGAACCTGTACCGTGAATAAACCATAGCACGTGACTCGACGTATGATGGTCCAGCATCATCAATACAACTAAACTTTAGATGACAACTTTCAATACGAAGAAAGAAACGCTTTAGTGATGTAATGTTGTAAACGAATGAATGGATAACTAGTAAACACGTGAGGCATGGGGATAACTAACTTGAATTGTTGATTGTTTTCAGAAGTATCCGAAATAAACTAGACGATCCGTGCTATCATAAAAATGTGTGCGAGGAATTTCTATTTGTTTCGAAATATAATTTTTCGTTCATATTGCTTCCTGAATTGCTGCCTAATTTCTGTGTAAGGATAAATTTTCCCTGACATATGTCTACCATACCTATATAATTTTTGTTCCGAAGACAGGTAGTTCCGGCTAACAGATAACGACTAATTTCTAGTGACCAATTTTAATTGAGGTTGCTAGAAATTTGAAATTTTCTTCGACAGAAATAACGTTATATAGTAGATCTCCAGTTTGTAGCTTAGTTTTGTCCTTCAGCTTGTTTTCTGAGTTTCCTGAACAATTTTTCACAGTCTGTTTTAATGCTATGAGCTTCATCGCGTTTAGTTCAGTGTGTTACAACACGCAACATCGCGCAATCTTGTTTTGCAACCATAGCTTAGAAAAAATCCTCCTCATTTGGTGATGTTCTAAAACTCAACTGCTATGATTTGTAGCCAGCCAAGGAACGATCTGCAAACCGCAACACGCCACCGCGTAGCATTTATTTGGTTCAATAACCAGAAAACGCCTCTGATGTGTTTTGAGAAACTGTTCTTCACTATCGTAGATCTTTCAAGGACTTTGGTGTCTTTCTTCCATACAAAAGATCGTTGAATTTCCTTCCGTTTTTAAAATGCGTAAATTACGTCTTTTATCCTACGAGGAACATAAAGACCCACGAAGTAATGGAATGCTGTTTCGGCTGGCTCCGCCATATTAGAAAGTGAATCTTGTAAATAACTGACGGCCCACCAACAGGCAACCAAACATGCAGTTGAGGCTGCAGCACAGCATAGAGGCAGCGACAAGACCAGGACCAGAGCAAAAAGCCCTGCGCCGACTAGCGAAGACTCGGCGATTACAAACACAACAAACGAAATAAGAAAAGTAACGAAGACAAATCCGAGAAATACCATACCAGGTACAGAGCCCGCGACAACTGCAGTACAGACAAAAAGGGCAGTCAGCGGCCTTCGCCTGGAGAATCTGAGCAGCCATGACAGGCGCGAGCCTCGTTTGTTGATTGGAGGTTGTTGTTTCGGCAAGTTATGGAGCATATTTTCAGGCTTGTCGTCTGGCAAGTGGAACCTGACTCGTTTATGGATCAACGTGTGGAACCTGTCGTCACAGTCAGAGTCTTGAAGACTTTCCATTACCTTGGAGAGAACATTCAGGAAACAAAGTTATTCTGCTTAGGCTAAATATACCTTAACACATTTTCATGCCTAAATGTAACTAATTGCAATCATTTTCCCTTTGCTATGTTCGGGTTCTTCCCAGGAAAAATGGTAAAAGTAGGTCCGCTGTGCGTACATGTGATTGCTGTGAAACACTCTTGAGGAGCCAAATTTCCTTTCTCACCCTTTAATCACATTAGATGCTCATAAACCTGGTTTCAAGTGTTAGCAGTCGCACAGAAATTAAAGATCCCTGTAAGTGCAGACGGAGATTGACATGAAAGTTTTACGTTGTAGAGGATATGATGCTCTAAAAGTCCACTTTAGTGGTAATATACAGTTTCTGAGCGTCTCGTACAGCTTCATAACAGGACTGCTTTAATAGTAAGAGTATCTTTGTCCAGTAAGAATCGCAAATCAGCGTGCTCGCTTGAGTTCACCAATCATAACAAATCCAGATAACGCGATGAACTAAGGAGAATTCGAAGTGCCGAGGTTTGTAAAATAAAACGCGCCAGTGTAAGCCAGTCACAATTGGCTTTTTTAAAAGTTCGTTACAAAGGTTTTTTAGTACCCAGATCAAAACCCGAAACTTAGGCCACATAATTACTGCTAATTTTGACCTGCGAAAAGCACGTGGGTGTGGTTTGCAAAAGGATATCCTCTGGCATTCGTGTTCTGAAAAGACTCAAGCAATTCGTATCACTAATTCCCTTATTCAACCACATTTTGGTTACTGCTCCACAGTTTGGGATGGCATAAATAATCAATTGACTGAACAGCTTCAGAAATTTCAAAATCGTGCTGCTAGGATCCTAACAATTATATCTAGCCATGAAGTAAGTTCTTCTCCTCTTCTGGACGCACTTGGCTGGGAAAAGTTGATCTCAACCGAAAAGAAAACTGGATTAACAAAGTTATACTACCTAAACCTGTAACAGAGTACAGATATTTCCTTTGTATTAATAAATATAAATAATAAATACACTAAACGAACAACAACAGAAAAAACTGAAAGTGCATCAGAGCAATTATCGATGAGTTTTAACCGTTTTGCCTTCAGTTTTTTCTAATAACAGCAAAAGAGCAAGCTCATCAACCAACTATTCAGCGAAACATAACAAAAACAAAAAACCCTAACCAACTTAGAAAATAGCATAAATGCAGTCTAATTGTCATTTAAAATCATCAGTAACAGACACGAGTATGCTGATGTTAAGCAGTAAAAGTTATATATCAAATAGAACCAAACACATTCGTTACCTGACGGTCTAACGCAGTTTTAGATTGAATAATAACACTGACCCTCTCATCCCATTTTCAGCGATCAAAGTTCTTTCATCTGATCTTACGTAATAATTTCTCGCTAGCTTACGTCACAATCACTAACTCGATGTGCGCGCAGCTTGCAAACTCGTCCCCAGCGCTCTCCCTTTCGTCCGCGAGAAAGCGGAGTAATGTTCTTGTCAGAATGAATTCGAGGTGGTTTCATATCGCTATTCATGTAGTTTTTCAAATTCTTTTCCTTATTATCCAACTGCACTTCGTAAAGCTAAATATACATATTTTAGAAGTCGGAAACTTTCACTTCACGCTGTGATGCTTCAGATTCAAATTACTGGAAAACGAGAGCAGCAGTTCGCATTCTCGTCCCCAGAGTCTCCAACGACATCTTAAGACGGTAGCGCTGGGGACGAGAATGAGCAGTTCTGAAAAGAGAATAATATTTTTATGTTCCAATCTCCTGCCTTTCATGTTTCTTATACCTTAACGGGCAAGTTGAAAAAGGAAAAAAAATGTTTGAAAGTCCGAATGCGCACTTTCGGGAAAGCAATCAGACTAGCTTCTCAGATCACTACGGATGTTTCGGTCCCCGCACGAGCCCCTCCCTTTCTACTTGAAATTACGCTTCGCCATCACTATAGGTGCGTATGCCATGGCTACCAGTACTTACTTACAGACAACACCGTAGTCACTTTATCGGGAATGGTAAAATGCGATATAAACCAAGCGGAGACCTCCCTTGCATCATCTAGAAATCTGACTAATCAGCCAAGTTCTCCATATGTTTCTCCTATCAATGCCTAATTCTGACTGTGCTACATAAGTTGAAGAAAATTCAAACATGTGTCAAACAGAACACCTGAACTATTTTATGGTAATACCAAGCGTTTTCTGGTAATACTCGAACCTTCCAATCAGCGTTCATCTCCTAAAATGACGCAAAATTATCGCACAACAGGTCCCTGCACAACCACTTGTAACATTTTGAACGCCGCGTTCTCACTCGTGAAAGTCACTGCGCAAATCAAAGGCTTGATCCTTGGGATGGCGATATACGAGGCCTCGTTTGTCTTCTTGTCCACCATTTGCCTTCTTTTGTATTTATTTACAGCGAACCCATCACAACAATCGGCGGCTAGTGGTGATGGATCATTTCGTAAATTTCAGCGCAAGTATCTTACTGTTTATCTCATGGCCCAAGGTAGAGTGTGCTTATTTCAGTAAATTACGGTCAGATCGTTCCGTGGTGAAGGCCTTTGCGGAGGACATAGCGAGACAATTATTTTGTATTCAGAACTAAGACTCGATCTATCAAATCAGTTTATTGCCTTGATCGATCATGTGAGCAGTACTCGGTGGTGTTTGCTGCTGTGAAATCATCATTTTCTCTGTGGAACATGTATTCAGTTTCANGGGGGGGGGGGGGGGGGACGGGCGTACTCTGCTTGGGTTACAGGGACAGGGGATGAACAAGAAATAATATGCGATCAGCAGGTGCTTTAGATTGTTTCGGAACATCCTGATCATATTAAACAGTCGCCCAGTGTCTGAGCATATAACTTTCTTTCAACTGCTAAGCTGCTAATTTCACAGCAAGACTTCTCCTCGTTATTTCGTGTCTAGGTTTGAGTCTGGGTGGTCTTCTCTTAATTTATCTGTGTGATCCTATCGTGGTCTATCGTCTGAAAACAATTACACCACCAAAAGACAAAATGAGCGACAGTCTGTCGGCCTATTTCGTGAAATAGCGGCATGGTCACCTCATAATTATGGCTAGACGTTGTTTCACCGTGCCGAAAACAGATTTCAAGGGGCAGTTCTTAGGCTGATCAAAATAAAACATGGTTATATTACGGTGATTATATGACTAAGAAGCTAGGCAAGCATAACGAAGTTTCCGTTAGAGATGATTTTTCCTTTCCTGCGAACAGATTTAATCGGACCCCATAGTCAGCTTAATGAGATCCAGCATCCTGTTTATGTTCCGGTATAATGACCTCTGAGTACGTTGCTCGAATTTCTTAAATTCATGATAAGTTATGAGTGCTAAAAAATTAACTGCGTCTTAGGTTTTTAAAATATTGTTTATGTATGTGCTCAGCCGGTACTTGCAATAATACAGTAATGATCTCTATTCAGGAACTAGCCGGGCAAATACCGAAGAAGAAAGAAACTAAGGGGAGGGAATAAGATGAAATGTATAGACACTTATAAAGAGCTGTTCGTGAACAAATTTTGTTCCTAAACACAGAATTGAAATGCCAAGGCCAGTCACCACCAGCACACGGCCAAATTAAATGCGAAGACGTCCCCAACAGTCAGGACGTTTATTGTAGCATGTCATGTGACCCGGGATATGACGTTGAATTCCTTGCTGCTGAGCGTTACGTGTGTCATGATGACGGCACTTGGACCGCTGAACCACCGTCCGTGGGCACACAGTGGCCAAACTGTAGACATTACGCGTAAGTAGATACGAGTTTCTGATACAATAAATGTGTTATCGAACTTGCGTGATCGTGAGGGTCCGTATTGGGTATATGGTGGTGGAGTTTATGGGCCGAGCCGCAGGCGAGGTCCACAAGCTTGCCAAAAAGAACGAGACCAATATATACTGTAGCCTTGTACGGCATTTCTACAAGGACCTGCAAGGGCTCTGATAAGAGAAAACTCGTGCAGGTTTATGAACGCGGTTTACAAGCTGTATTTTGAGATTAAAGATCTCCTTCGAGTTTCGCAGTCTCTACAACAGTTGGTTCCAGGACATGCAACCGGGTAGTAAAGTTGAAGCTATTACCAACAAACCTTTTAAATCTAAGACTGTTCACAGCCCTTTATTTTCGCGTATTTTTAATCGATCGTTGAACACGTGGATAGAATCGCGAGGAAACTGGACGCAAACGCAAAACGAGAGACTTAACAAGGTAGGGGGAGGGGACCAATTGGCTCGCTTCGCTCGCCTCCCCACCCCCACCCCACGTGCTTCGCGCTCACGTCGCTCGGCTTTTTCTTTCGCGTGCATTGAAAAATATAGAGTTGTCAATGTTAATCATTTTAGTGAGTCACCGCCCAGTTATAACCCAATTGTTTTCAAAAGTAGATTTAATACCGTGTATCTGAGCATGCATTAGGTCTTTGGTGTCCTCAGTTGGTAGCCTGCCTGTAGCCAGCTAGTAGATTGACTTGTTAATAAATTTGTTGCATTGTTGTATTGTATTCCGCCAATACGGACAGAACATGATAGAAAGTATTTATTAGATTGGAAATTTTCAAACTCTGCTGATAAATTAATCAGAAATCTAGTTTGAAATCAACTGATTACCCTGAACGTCTTCTCCAGCTGTTCTCCTGTCCCTTGTTCACACATTCCTTTCTTCCTTCCCGCCTTCCTTGGTTCATTCATTTTGTTTAATTAATGATTTATTATTCATTGTTTCTGTAGTGTGGATTTTCGGGTCACTTTCAAAATTTAGATCGAGAAATTGAATTCGTTTTTGTTCTTCTGACTTTTGGAATGAAGCAGTCCAACAAAAAGGCGCGGTTTAGACCTTACTGCTGAGTGACATGGTGGTACTTTTGTTATATCTCTGTTCATTACTTACCTGCATCATCCTGTTTTTTGTTTCAGCCGAGGAGAACCTGTACCGTGAATAAACCATAGCACGTGACTCGACGTATGATGGTCCAGCATCATCAATACAACTAAACTTTAGATGACAACTTTCAATACGAAGAAAGAAACGCTTTAGTGATGTAATGTTGTAAACGAATGAATGGATAACTAGTAAACACGTGAGGCATGGGGATAACTAACTTGAATTGTTGATTGTTTTCAGAAGTATCCGAAATAAACTAGACGATCCGTGCTATCATAAAAATGTGTGCGAGGAATTTCTATTTGTTTCGAAATATAATTTTTCGTTCATATTGCTTCCTGAATTGCTGCCTAATTTCTGTGTAAGGATAAATTTTCCCTGACATATGTCTACCATACCTATATAATTTTTGTTCCGAAGACAGGTAGTTCCGGCTAACAGATAACGACTAATTTCTAGTGACCAATTTTAATTGAGGTTGCTAGAAATTTGAAATTTTCTTCGACAGAAATAACGTTATATAGTAGATCTCCAGTTTGTAGCTTAGTTTTGTCCTTCAGCTTGTTTTCTGAGTTTCCTGAACAATTTTTCACAGTCTGTTTTAATGGTATGAGCTTCATCGCGTTTAGTTCAGTGTGTTACAACACGCAACATCGCGCAATCTTGTTTTGCAACCATAGCTTAGAAAAAATCCTCCTCATTTGGTGATGTTCTAAAACTCAACTGCTATGATTTGTAGCCAGCCAAGGAACGATCTGCAAACCGCAACACGCCACCGCGTAGCATTTATTTGGTTCAATAACCAGAAAACGCCTCTGATGTGTTTTGAGAAACTGTTCTTCACTATCGTAGATCTTTCAAGGACTTTGGTGTCTTTCTTCCATACAAAAGATCGTTGAATTTCCTTCCGTTTTTAAAATGCGTAAATTACGTCTTTTATCCTACGAGGAACATAAAGACCCACGAAGTAATGGAATGCTGTTTCGGCTGGCTCCGCCATATTAGAAAGTGAATCTTGTAAATAACTGACGGCCCACCAACAGGCAACCAAACATGCAGTTGAGGCTGCAGCACAGCATAGAGGCAGCGACAAGACCAGGACCAGAGCAAAAAGCCCTGCGCCGACTAGCGAAGACTCGGCGATTACAAACACAACAAACGAAATAAGAAAAGTAACGAAGACAAATCCGAGAAATACCATACCAGGTACAGAGCCCGCGACAACTGCAGTACAGACAAAAAGGGCAGTCAGCGGCCTTCGCCTGGAGAATCTGAGCAGCCATGACAGGCGCGAGCCTCGTTTGTTGATTGGAGGTTGTTGTTTCGGCAAGTTATGGAGCATATTTTCAGGCTTGTCGTCTGGCAAGTGGAACCTGACTCGTTTATGGATCAACGTGTGGAACCTGTCGTCACAGTCAGAGTCTTGAAGACTTTCCATTACCTTGGAGAGAACATTCAGGAAACAAAGTTATTCTGCTTAGGCTAAATATACCTTAACACATTTTCATGCCTAAATGTAACTAATTGCAATCATTTTCCCTTTGCTATGTTCGGGTTCTTCCCAGGAAAAATGGTAAAAGTAGGTCCGCTGTGCGTACATGTGATTGCTGTGAAACACTCTTGAGGAGCCAAATTTCCTTTCTCACCCTTTAATCACATTAGATGCTCATAAACCTGGTTTCAAGTGTTAGCAGTCGCACAGAAATTAAAGATCCCTGTAAGTGCAGACGGAGATTGACATGAAAGTTTTACGTTGTAGAGGATATGATGCTCTAAAAGTCCACTTTAGTGGTAATATACAGTTTCTGAGCGTCTCGTACAGCTTCATAACAGGACTGCTTTAATAGTAAGAGTATCTTTGTCCAGTAAGAATCGCAAATCAGCGTGCTCGCTTGAGTTCACCAATCATAACAAATCCAGATAACGCGATGAACTAAGGAGAATTCGAAGTGCCGAGGTTTGTAAAATAAAACGCGCCAGTGTAAGCCAGTCACAATTGGCTTTTTTAAAAGTTCGTTACAAAGGTTTTTTAGTACCCAGATCAAAACCCGAAACTTAGGCCACATAATTACTGCTAATTTTGACCTGCGAAAAGCACGTGGGTGTGGTTTGCAAAAGGATATCCTCTGGCATTCGTGTTCTGAAAAGACTCAAGCAATTCGTATCACTAATTCCCTTATTCAACCACATTTTGGTTACTGCTCCACAGTTTGGGATGGCATAAATAATCAATTGACTGAACAGCTTCAGAAATTTCAAAATCGTGCTGCTAGGATCCTAACAATTATATCTAGCCATGAAGTAAGTTCTTCTCCTCTTCTGGACGCACTTGGCTGGGAAAAGTTGATCTCAACCGAAAAGAAAACTGGATTAACAAAGTTATACTACCTAAACCTGTAACAGAGTACAGATATTTCCTTTGTATTAATAAATATAAATAATAAATACACTAAACGAACAACAACAGAAAAAACTGAAAGTGCATCAGAGCAATTATCGATGAGTTTTAACCGTTTTGCCTTCAGTTTTTTCTAATAACAGCAAAAGAGCAAGCTCATCAACCAACTATTCAGCGAAACATAACAAAAACAAAAAACCCTAACCAACTTAGAAAATAGCATAAATGCAGTCTAATTGTCATTTAAAATCATCAGTAACAGACACGAGTATGCTGATGTTAAGCAGTAAAAGTTATATATCAAATAGAACCAAACACATTCGTTACCTGACGGTCTAACGCAGTTTTAGATTGAATAATAACACTGACCCTCTCATCCCATTTTCAGCGATCAAAGTTCTTTCATCTGATCTTACGTAATAATTTCTCGCTAGCTTACGTCACAATCACTAACTCGATGTGCGCGCAGCTTGCAAACTCGTCCCCAGCGCTCTCCCTTTCGTCCGCGAGAAAGCGGAGTAATGTTCTTGTCAGAATGAATTCGAGGTGGTTTCATATCGCTATTCATGTAGTTTTTCAAATTCTTTTCCTTATTATCCAACTGCACTTCGTAAAGCTAAATATACATATTTTAGAAGTCGGAAACTTTCACTTCACGCTGTGATGCTTCAGATTCAAATTACTGGAAAACGAGAGCAGCAGTTCGCATTCTCGTCCCCAGAGTCTCCAACGACATCTTAAGACGGTAGCGCTGGGGACGAGAATGAGCAGTTCTGAAAAGAGAATAATATTTTTATGTTCCAATCTCCTGCCTTTCATGTTTCTTATACCTTAACGGGCAAGTTGAAAAAGGAAAAAAAATGTTTGAAAGTCCGAATGCGCACTTTCGGGAAAGCAATCAGACTAGCTTCTCAGATCACTACGGATGTTTCGGTCCCCGCACGAGCCCCTCCCTTTCTACTTGAAATTACGCTTCGCCATCACTATAGGTGCGTATGCCATGGCTACCAGTACTTACTTACAGACAACACCGTAGTCACTTTATCGGGAATGGTAAAATGCGATATAAACCAAGCGGAGACCTCCCTTGCATCATCTAGAAATCTGACTAATCAGCCAAGTTCTCCATATGTTTCTCCTATCAATGCCTAATTCTGACTGTGCTACATAAGTTGAAGAAAATTCAAACATGTGTCAAACAGAACACCTGAACTATTTTATGGTAATACCAAGCGTTTTCTGGTAATACTCGAACCTTCCAATCAGCGTTCATCTCCTAAAATGACGCAAAATTATCGCACAACAGGTCCCTGCACAACCACTTGTAACATTTTGAACGCCGCGTTCTCACTCGTGAAAGTCACTGCGCAAATCAAAGGCTTGATCCTTGGGATGGCGATATACGAGGCCTCGTTTGTCTTCTTGTCCACCATTTGCCTTCTTTTGTATTTATTTACAGCGAACCCATCACAACAATCGGCGGCTAGTGGTGATGGATCATTTCGTAAATTTCAGCGCAAGTATCTTACTGTTTATCTCATGGCCCAAGGTAGAGTGTGCTTATTTCAGTAAATTACGGTCAGATCGTTCCGTGGTGAAGGCCTTTGCGGAGGACATAGCGAGACAATTATTTTGTATTCAGAACTAAGACTCGATCTATCAAATCAGTTTATTGCCTTGATCGATCATGTGAGCAGTACTCGGTGGTGTTTGCTGCTGTGAAATCATCATTTTCTCTGTGGAACATGTATTCAGTTTCAGTAAACACTGCATCAGTCTGATCGCTCATGTGAACAGTATTCAGAATTTACATTAGAATTACACTCGTTAGTAGAGCGATCTATCAACTATTTTAAGGATCTTTTATCTAAGATGGTCTGCGTAAAAAGTGCAACGGTCTAGTTTTAGAACGATCTGACCGACTACTTTTCTTAATAACCGTCTATACGTGCGTTGCCAGAAAAAATGAAATAAAACATAAAACAAAGTCGATGTAGTAATGGAGTACTATAGTAATACTGTATATTACCTCAAACGGAAAATCAGCCGACGAACTTCGACCTTTTGCAGTGGTTCCAAAAAACGTTTTTTTTTGCACAGACTCCATTGATGGACCTTTACTGACTTAACAAACAAATTGAAATAATTAAAAGTAAAATTTTTACCATTGTATTTTCTTTTTTGCTATCATGGGAACTAAGGAGGAGTTTATCCATTATAAGGGATAAGGCCCTCGAGGCTGTAAGCTGCTATAATAATGGTCTTTTTTCTATCGGCTGTTATATAAAAATATCAAGTATCAAAAAGCCATATCCGCCTGAGGAGTAAATGGTCGAGGTATTTATCCTATTTATTTCATGATCCTTATTATAAGCACTCCATATGGCAGGGAAAAAAATGAAACATCACATGATGTTTCTGACGTAGTTTTATGCGTTTCTAAGAAGACAGTTACAAGCAATATTTATATTACCAGTCGTAGTTGTTCGAAAAATATTACTGACGGTGGAAAACCCGCGTATTCAGCCACCAGTGCTTGCCACCAGACTGTACATGGTGGCTGTATTGATTTGTCAGTAAAAAGACTGAGTTTCATACTTGGGAAATTTGAAATTGTGGCTGCGAAACCAATCAATTTTTTTTCTGCTTATAAACACTGGCCTTAAAATCTTCTTTTATTTACATAGCCATAGCTGTTAGCACTGGAGGGGCGCTATTCGATATTTCTC